AATGGGGGAAAGGGAAATGACACATGAAGAACTGCAGATTCACTTGATCATAGTTCAATTCATATTCTATGCATTTATACCTCCAGCACCACCAGATCTTGCAGTTGTGAGTTCAATGTCTTTTGGATCAATTTCCACCTCAACTTCATCGGCCTAACCCAAAATTCATGTAAATCACAAATGAACTCAAATGAAAAAAAAAAGAGCTCATGATCAGATATGTTGAATGCAGCAGATAAAATGCAAGCTAATGTTTTGTTAAACAAAGGCTTGTAATAAGCATTCAAAAGGCTAAAATAATTGATATTAATTCCTAGGCTCAAAACACAGTTGAAAACTGAGATGACAATGGGTTCACACGCAAGATGTCTCAAGGCAAATCTGATTCAGGTCTGTAATGTAATCTACCTCAGGCATGATGGCTACAGTTGCTGTAGAAGTGTGCACACGGCCCTGTGTTTCTGTTTGAGGAACACGTTGAACCCTATGAACACCTGATTCATATTTCAATTTGCTGTAGACACGACTCCCCTTGACCTCTATCACACAAGTTTTGAATCCTCCTTTTTCAGCCTTAAAAGTGCCAAAAATTTGAGTCATATGAAGAACAATAGCATGGATATTTTGCTGCTCTTGAAAAACAGCAAGTACGATGCTAGAAATACTTTGTACACAATTTTAATTAAAACTTCCTAGCAATAAGTACTAGAAGTCATATTAACTATCAGTTATGGCTGTTTTGATAGAATGAGTATGGAACCCATGTATTTTAACAAGATTCTACAAGAAGGTACAATTAATATTACTCCGGTAAGACATACCTCAGAGCATGAAATTAGGGTGGATTTCCAAGAGTTCCGCTCACTGTACTTCTGATATTCTGACCTGGATATTAGTGGAAAGGATATTGAAGGTCCATTAAGATGTTTTTAAAAGAGCAAGGTCGACTAATCTCTAGTCAAAATATATCAGAAAAATATATAGGTCAAAACAAGAATCAAAACGTATCATTTGCCTGGTTCCATTAAGCTAGAAGTAGAAATTAAATTGTTTCCTAAGTCAACCCCAGCATTATTTTAAAAAAAATATTTCCGTTCTACTTCTATGTCATAAAGTCAATAGCTTCTTTTAGATCGCCTTAAAATATTCAATGATAAAAAATGATTACAATCCATAAATCTAAAAGGATAAAAGAAACATGTACCTACAAGATCACCGGCCCATATTCCAGCCTCATCACCACCAGTACCTGCCCTCACTGGAATATAGACAAGCATAGTTCATTAAAGTGGGAATGTGAAGGAAATTTTCATTAGATGATGCATCTAAAACTATCATCCATATCACACGGAAAGTACAACTTGTATGAAGATCAATGCTTAAGTAATAAGTATATAGAAATATCCAACCAAGAGGAATGATTTCTAACATGGATAATTGCTCAAACTGAAGCACAATGCAAATTATAGCGAAGTACAGCCTGAATCCTGTCTGACCTAGAAATTCTGTCGATAAATTATCTCCTCAACAAGATTAAGAAAGGCGATATAATTACCTTCAAGCATTATATTTCTTGCATCAAGAGGATCACTTGGAAGCAGCAGCAACTGTTGACATAGAAGCAATATAGTAATTTGAGAGACCATAAGCAATAATAGTACATATTCCACTATAAGGCTCGATATTGATTAATGCTCATCAAAGAACAATGGTATATAAAATATGCAGTCAGTATCCAGCTCATTCCAAAATGTTGGAACATTTTAAACGGAACTATTTTGTAATGCAAAGAAAAGTGATCATAACTTCTATCTTGCACTTGACTAAAGTAGACAATAGACACATGTTATTCACTTGGATAGTGGCTCCTAGATATGGAAAAAAATTATAGTGGTAGTTAGATATGAGTTAAGATATTGAGCGAAACCTTAAGCTTCTCCTCAAGCTCTTTCAGTTGACCAGATAAAGAGCTGATTTCAGATGCTATCATCTCAGCCATATCTTCATCAGTGCCATCCTCTTCTGATGAAGCTGAAAAAAATATGAAAAAGGATTGACTAGCTTTTATCTTATAGTAAACACAACTTTAAAAATCTTATAGAAAAACCATTTTAAATAAGATCGTCAAAATTACCTTTGGCCTCCTTTAATTGCTTCTCACAATCCTTAAATCTCCTGAAAGTTGATACAACCTATCCATCAAGAAAATAGAACATGAAATTCATGTCAATGGAAACTTTATTAGCAATGAAAGAGATTAAGGGTTTTATCCAGCTAAGAGGAAGCAAGACGAAATCCAATACCTCGTCAAGTTCCGAAACAGATTGTGCCAGTTTTTGGTATTCAGAGGGATTGGAGACAACATCTGGATCAGCAAGCCTAACCTACAGTGTCATTGTTTAGTGAAACAGAAACTTAAATAAACAACTGAATTTGGAGACTATCAATGGCATAGAGAACTATATTTTCAAGTTTAAGGTAGAGAAACCTTGGAATTTTACTCCTAAATCATTCATCAAGACAATCATCACCACATTCAAAAATATTAGAAACAGTTGATGCTGAAAACGAATAATTGCCTGCAGTGTAAATGGCAGTTAAGCTATCAAAGGCAGTAAAAGATAAACCTTATAGTTTGACCAACTTGGATTTCCGTTTTTACATTTTTGGCGAAGTGTCTTTCTAATACCGGATGAACCTAGCTGACTAACTTTTCTCAGAGCAAATTTTATCCTCTGCGAAGCAAACTTACAGAAACCATGCCTAATTTTGATTCCAAAAACTAAAGAATAATCAGGCCGACCAATGTGACTAACACACAACTAAAACACTCTCATTTCTCAAATAATTGAAACTTATTTAACAAGAGAAATTAAGAACTCTACCGATAATTCCTTCCACGTCTTCTCTTCAGATTCCAGTTTCGTTATCAGATACGGCTCCTACAAATAAAAAAAATCAAAAAGAGAAAAACGAAAGCAACAAAAGTTTATCTTTAGCAAAATCTCAGTTCTGCTTTCCTCGATTTAAAACGACGAAGTTTGTTTTGTCAAACGCACCGCCATACAAACGATTCTCGAAGCTCTGAATGCAGGCCAAGGTCTGGGTAGCCTCAAACATCTCGATTGAGGAGGAAAACGGCGTAGAACTGGGAAGGGATTGAAAGTAGTAGTGAATATTAGAGCTGTAGAGCACATTGCAACGCAGTTCATGGCTGCTAATGTATCTTTTAGAGATAAATTCGATGCTTGTATATCTATGGTTGTGGCGGATAAAATGTGAAGAGAACGAGAGAGGTTGGAGGGCGTGACCGTGGGGCTAAGGAAAAGAAACGGTGCCTCGCAAACTCATCTAAACCCCAACTGATAACGTTCCGTGTTTTTAGCAAACATCAGAGTGAAAATAATACTCCCAATTAACAATTTTTTCTTGCCAATTTTTTTTTTAAGAATAAACTCATGTTTAATCATTTTTATTTTTATTTTGTTCACTTTTGGACTTTAAATTACAAAATATATTTCGAATGCTTATATTAGCAATTTAGTTCAATTTAATTAGTAATTCATTAATTTTTGTTATTTCGATGATTTAGTATATTAAAACTGATTAGTTTTTAATTTAATCCCTAACTTTTTTATACAAACATCAATTCAATCTTGAATTTTTGTTTCCTTCATTTTTTTATTTTCTTAAATAAAAGTTTTAAAAAATCTCTCAATCTTAGAATCTAATCAAAGTCCCCTCATTAACCTAACCATTAGAATATGAAAATTTCAATTTATTCATTTTTAAGCCCTAAATATGAAACCGGTATTCATTTTATAAAAAAATATCTTAAACTCGACAATTATAATCCAAAACACAATATAAAAACTAATACAATGAATTACTCAAATCACCTCAACCATTTAGTCAACTTAACTTCATACACACTTGTCCTCTCATATCTCGAAGATCTTTTTTCTTAAAAAAATATTTGATAGTCTCTTCCTATCACGTCATCCATAGTTTCAACTAATAAAAATCACTTATCTTACTCTTTTTTTTCTTTTATCACTAATGTACTCATAATTAAATTTCAAGTAATCATCCATAGCTAGATATAAATAAATATTCTTTGTAGAGAAAGCAGTCTAGCACTATTCTCTTGTCTAGTCGCTTTGGTATTCTATGATAGACCATATGCTTATTGGTGTCGAAATTATATTTTTTATTTTCAAAACTTTTTTCTGTCTTTAAAATTGTATTTTCAGAATTTTTTTTTCTTTGAACTTATAGCTTGCTGGGACAGCAGGAACTGCTTTCATAAAATTTTGGCTTGAAAATCTTGTATTTATATATCTTAGAAGGAAGCTTCAAATATTTGGCGGAAAACAAAATTCATCATTTGTTTATCTGAACTATATTAAAAAAATGGTTTGACATATTATGCTAGAGATGAGATCAAAATCAACAGTGTTGTCTACTACAACAAATGGTTTGACATAGATAGACGAGCAATATAAAGTTTGAATGGATGAGAATTTGATATAGAAGATGTTCCTGTTGTTAAAATTCTGCATATTCTTGAACTGTGAATCTTTTAGGATATATTTCTTCGATAAAAATTATTGAACAATGTATCTTTCAGGATATGTTTCTTTCAATGACACTTGCCGAGTCGAGTCAGTGATTTTCAGTGGATACTGGTGAAGGTTATGATGATTTTGTTAGTGGTTAAAGTTATAATTGATTTAAAACGAGAAAAAAAGAGAAATATTTTGGTGTTATCATTAATAGATAGACAATGAAAATTTTATTAATTGTCACGTCATTTATTGTTAAATTTTTAATTTAAAATAATAATTTATTATTTTTTAAGTCGAGTATCATTTGTAATATTTTATAATAGAGAGATTCAACAAGAAAAAGGAACCATAATCGAGTGACTATTCTATTTGCTTATATTACCTTATTCACACAAAAAAGACTTGCGAGTTCACTAGTTTTGTGGCACTAAAAGAAAAGAAGTGGGAGAAAACAAATGTCGGCTGACTTTTAGTACCAATGTCGAGGCTATTCTCCAATTTTCCTGGCTGACACAGATCGGCGAAGGCTAAACAAAGACAAACCATTCTTTTATTTATACTTTTATATGCAGCACTTGCAATTCCACTCTCAGTGGCTGCTCCTTGCCTTGAACACTTACATTTTTTAAGTTTTGCTCGGAAGTACAAATTACTTTGACTAGTACCAATTTGAGTAGAGAAAATAACTTTTGAGGTTTCACAGCCATATAGCGCCTGCCCTGATGAGCAATGGGACAAGTTGGTTCCTCACTTGCAGGGACATGACTTGGTTAGGACCCCCAATGAGCTGCTGCCCTATGAACACAACCGGTACACCGAGCTTGCACCCCATCTGCTGCAGTGCTCTTTCAATCTGTCCCCCATTCTGAACTTCATCGAGCTCGTATACCGTAGGGTTAGCCCCAAAGCCACTTATCAGAGTCTTGATGGTGTGGCTCATGCAACACGTGGTCCGGCTAAAGATCACCACCGGACTGTCTGCAACCATCCTTGTAATCACTTCCATTGTTATCTAGCAGGGAAGAGTATAGGAAATGGAAGCTCAAAGGACCTTACTGGGAGACTTCTGAAGTTTTAAACTGCTTAGCCCTGATGAGGAACCTAATCACCCTGGATACCCCATTTATACTGTCCATGCACTGGAGTAAAAAAGGAATAAAATAATTCAATAGATCATAACAGTGTGCAAATACACAACATGTGACAATAACTACACTTAAAATGACTTCACTATCCTTAACATACCCAGCATTCAACAATACTAAAAAAATGCAATTGAAGTGTAGGATGCAAATTTAGAACTTCTTAAAAGTACAAATATCTTGTTGATATATGATGCTCTACAAGATTCATCACATGGCCTGCTAATTACTTACATTTCTTAAAGTCATTCGACCTTCCTTGAAGGAGCTGCATGTTTCAAGAATGGGGTATTTTCCTATTTGGTTTCATCTCAGCATCATCATCTCTGCATAGATTTTGGCATTATTATCAAGTCGGAATATATTCACATTTCCAAAACACATTTTTTTAAAGAATTTGCCATCATCTCTCACATTTTCTCATTTACCAAAACATATGCCAAAATACTGCATCAACAATTCAATCAAAACCAAGTTTCAAAAATATAGTTAAGAGCCAAAATTTGCTTGCTCCCTTAAAACATCAAATTGTAGCAAACATGCACATGGAAAGTAACATTCAGCAGATTACTATATTAAGTCTATATGATCAAATTTGGGATGACAGAATTATAGTGCTCCCCAAGCCCATATGCATACTTATGGTATGACAACCTGAGAGTCCCTTCAGATGAAGAAGACCCTCCATCAGATTTGTACTCCTTTCCCCTCCACATCAGGAAAAGATCCCGAAAATATCATGATGTGTTTTCTCAGGCAGTGAGTTAAAGCTCCAAGCTCTAACTGCCCTCCCCATGCAGCAGTCAACTCCACCTCTTTACAGTAGTTCTCGAATCTCTCTGCTAGTGAATCATCAGAATCTCCATCTACCGTATTCTCTGACAGGAAAAAGGAAGAAAATTGGATGTGTGTTTCCTCATATAAGCAGCCGCCATTTCCCGTAGCTCTTGATATGTATAGGAGAAGAACCTCCAGACAGAAGGGCCAGCTGATCTTCGACAGCTCGGTAGAGGCAATGTCCATCCGGCTTTATTTCATTGATTGTGAATCCCAGGGGTTTGAGTTTTCTCTCCAATTTCTCATCTTCAATCATTCTATCACTCACAATGTTGCTCTGCTCTTCTTGAATCCGTTGTTCTCTGGCAGCGTCTTGCTGAGCCCTTTTCTCTCTTCTCTTGGCACCTTTGCTAGGCTTTGGATGATCCTGCTGAGGAGTTACAGACACCCCAGCAATTGCCTTAACTAAATTGTCGATATTGCTTTATCATTTCCATTACTGTATCCTAGTGAAGAAAGCTCTTGAGCTTGTTTTTCCTTGAGTTTAGAAGAGAGCTGAGAGATCTCTTCCTCCACCTGCTTCTTTTTAGCTTTCTGTTCAGCCTTGCTACCCTTTGCTGCTGCCTTTTTCAGGCTGATTTCCTTATTTTGTAGCTCTGATATCTCTTTTCTGGAGAATAGTAGAAAAAATAAGTCACGTAAAGGGAAAATATATATTATTTAAGAAAAGCCCCAACTAACTTGCAATGGGCTAAACACCAGCAAGCAAACAGCAGTTTTTTAAGGGTTTAAGAATCAAATTTGTTAGATCAGGGCATATTAATATTTACATATGAGCCTTACTTCATAATAGCAACTAACCTTATTAAACCATTTACATTGTGCTAGGAAAGAAGCAAGAATAATTAACTAGGTTAAATGTGAAAGCAAGGTACACATCAGTCAACTACCTGAAACCATGAATTAGAATAAAGCTACAGGTATGGTAAGAAATGCATATAGAATATCATTGAATTACCTATGCCTAGAAAGCATTTCATCACGAGTTTCCTGCTTTTGAGATGTGCAGGGCAAACTTTCTTCACATGGTTTGTCATCTACACCTTGAACATCTGCCATCTGAGCACACCTAAAATCACGGTCAATGATAGCATAGAGGAAATGGTAATGTTGAGCTTGGGACTAAGAAAAGAACATCCAAAATCTCACTTATGGATGCAGCTAATATTCAACAATCAAACCAATGTATGCTAGTCTAAGCCACAAGGATGCAGCTAAACAGGTGAAATGGATATCTTTAAACTCGGCTTCCCGAAAGAACATACGGTCAATTTTGCAAACAAAATAGATTATCCATGTATGGACAAGAGAACCGACCGTTTAACCAACATAAGCTTTCTAGATGCTCTTCTAAACTAAACATATAACTCTTCCATTAAACCAAGTTCAAAAACAATCCTTAAACATGCAAGTTTCCTTTTTTGGAACTCTAGAACCATGCAATTGCTACAACAATTCCAATTCAGTAAACGGAGTTTCAGATGTGAGATTGATGATATGATTAAGTAATCAATTAAACAGCACCCTAAATTCAAATTCCCATCAGAAAAGAGAAGAACAAAAAGAACCCACAATTATTCCTTTCAAAACATGAATTAAATTGAAATCAAGAACTAGTAAAAGAAATCACTTCGAATCTTTACGAGTTGAAACAATCCTAGCAATAATGGATGATCAGAAACTCAAAAAGTAAACATTATATTAATAAACAGTCAAAAGCGTGATTAAAATTGGAGCTTAGTTCTACAAATATAATATAAGCAAAACAACTATAACAAGCAATTGGCATTCCTTCGATAATTTATCCTTCAAATTTTATTATAAACTAAAAATAACGGAATTTAGTGATAAAGAGCAAACCTTTGGAATGAAGCACGAAATTCGCTTAAGTGAGCTAGGGTTTACTCGCGTCACAACCTGTAAATCTCGAAGGAAAACAAGAAAGAATAGAAAGCCCATATTTGCTCATTTTATTTAATGTTTATATTAATTATTATATATAATCGTGTTTTTTTCCTTTTGCATATTAATTTTTTATCTTGTTTATAATTATACATGCATTTCTAATAAAAAAAAGTTTTAATCTTTTTTTAAAGATTCAAGATAATATTTTGATTAAGATGATTAATAAATAATCTTCGAAATAGTTGCATATTAATTTTTTATCTTGTTTATAATTACATGCATTTCTAATAAAAAAAGTTTTAATCTTTTTTTAAAGATTCAGATAATATTTTGATTAAGATGATTAATAAAATAATCTTCGAAATAGTTGAAATGCGATAATTTTAACAATTTCATAATAAATAACTCTTACATTCATATTTTAATTTCAAATGAGTCATAATTTAAATCCTTTTCTAAAAACAGAATCAACGTAATTAAGGTATTAATTTTGGACATGTAGCAACGAGAGGGCCAAGTAAGTCATCCCTTTTCATTTGGTTCTCTTGTGCTTATTTCACCTACTGTTGCTATAGTGTGCTGCCCTTTGCATTCTCTGCAAAGACAATTTCATTCATCCATCCAAGTTATAGGGATGGATAAGCCCCCAATATATTCCTCTCTCACTCACAAAGCAAACCTATCCTATATTCAGAAATATTCCCAGCTCTCACTTCTTTAATCTAAATCACTTAACAATCTCAATGCATTTCAAGCTCAATGAAAGTGGATTTTATTCCAGGTTATTTGACTTTCAGAATACACTACAGTGCGCATGTAGTTTTTTTTAATATTTGATATTATTAAAGTGTGATTATTCCAGATAAACTTACGGATTACATTCCCAGAACAAGTTTACTTGTGCGGATATTAATTTCAACTTGTTCATCACTCTCAAATAGGGGTGGGAATAGGTCAGGCCGGCCTACAGGGGCATACAGCCTGACCTACATAAAGTCTGGTCTGACTTGACCTATTTAACCAGGCTCGGACCTTTTTAAAAGCCTATTAATTTAAATAGGTCAGGTTTATGCTTATAAATATATATGTATGTATATGTATATATGCTGAGAAATTTTATTGATTTCTCATGCGTTCGGTGATGCCAAAGCATGGGTAGGGCATGGGCTGTTGTTGGGCATGATTATGTGATTCTGATTTTGCATTATAATTGAAAATGTACACGCAAGTTGCAAAATATTAATATTATAGTATCACGGTGAGGTATTATAGTGTAAGGAACCCAAATATTAATATTAGGTCCTGTACCGATAAGCTTGGAGATCAGTTGGTGCATCATTAATTACTTGATCAATCCACTGGCAGGTTAGTTTGTTTAATTAATATTATAATACATTAAACCAATATTATAATACCTTTTGGTTTTCATGAAAAACTGTGGGTGCGTGCGTATAAACCAATAGTTATTTATCCAAAGCTGGTAATTAAATATTTGTATATTCTTGTTGGCTTTATTTTTAAAATGATACGGACCACGCGCTTAAATCTATGATTATAATGACAAACCTGTCTCTGTCCTAGAGTAAGCAAATTTCAATTTTCAACTTGTCTTCCATTTTTTTAATCTATTACGTCTGTTGAAGTAAAATAGAGAACACAACAAGTAACAAAAATTGTATAACAAACAAAAATCGTATCCTTTTCACTTCAAGCTTTGATAGAGGTAAAACTTCAAAACCTTGCCATTTTTTCTTTCATCTTCTTATTCTTTTAACAAGTTTCATTATGAGTCTTGATTTAGGCACGTTCAGTTGTTCACGTTGGTTTTTTTTTACTTGGTGATGTATGATTTTTATCAATATTTTTTTTGCATGTAGTTATAACTATTATATTTAGATTGCTTTTTCATTATAGAGGCAATGTAATTTTGGGACATCAATTTTAATGGTTCCTCTTGTTGTTGTCCTATGTTGTGTCATGTTTTCATTACGAAGAATCTGTTGAAGCTCTAATTTGTGGTGGAGATTGGTTTCGTCATAAATAATGTGAAGAAAAAAATCAAAGGTTAATATTACTTATTATAATTTTTATAAGTAATATTTAATCATTTTTTAGCAACTTGTTCATTTATTTATGTAGTGTTTTTCAATCCAGTAACTAACATATATGTATTTTTCTTCTTATTTTGAAGGCTGAAAAAGAAGAGATACAAATCACATTGAAGTTTTGATGTACCAGTTCTGTTCAAATGGAATGGAGATGTAGACTTTATTTTTTGTTTGTAATAGTTAATATGTTGGTTTGATAGACTTGGATGATGCTACCTCAAGTATGAGGTTCTCTTTTGTATTGGATTATTTTATATTGATTTCAGTTTATATTAAAAATTAATCAAGTTTAACCTATTAAATTATAGAAGGTGTGTTATTTAAAAAATACTTTTAAA